GCCTGGCCCACAGTATTTTATTTTGGAATATTTGTTATTGGAACTTCAGAGCAGGTGAAAGAATCTATATTGGAGTTTTCATGGGGCTGCTGCTGAAAATGGATTTGGCTTCAGAGTTTATGGATGTTTTTGTTTCAAGTTTGATTCAAAATGTGCTTTCCATTATGAAAATTTTTTGTATATTTTAGTGATCAGAGAAGGCAGTTATGTGTGGTTTGATTGTTTAGTGTTTTGTTTTCATTGACTAAACAACCTGATATATTTTTAAAAAAAATTACAGTTTTTATAGCTTTCTTTTTTCTTGCTTTAGTCATTTTTCTAACTTCTACTCTTTAAATTGGAATTCTGTATAATGAACTTTACTGTTTGGTTTTCTGTGTTTTCATACTCACTTTCTGTTAAGTTTCACTTTGCCATCTATTTTTAAAATGAGAAAAAAAAATTTTGGAGGGTGTGCCAGGCCCTGCATCCCCTGCTGTGGCTGTGCCTTGTTTTTGCTGTGGGACACACTGTGAGCAGCAGCTCAGGCTGTGCCTTCCCTTGGTGCTGAGGGCACTCTGAGCCTGCTGATGGTTCCCAAGCCTTGCAAATCTGAGGTTGGTCTGCTCAAACACTCACACCTGGGTTTTCAGCACTGGTTATATTTTTATGGCAACTTTGGTAATTTTATTCTCACTTATTTATTATTATTGACTCTTGTTTTTCTTCCTGTTTTCACATTCTTTCTGCTTTTCCAACAAATGCTTGTTTTATTCTTGGCAGAATTTTTAAGCAGACAGATAAATCTTGGTTGCTAAGGTGCACTGCCATTGTCATCAGATAAACTATTCCATACTATTTCTTTTGTGTATTTGGTTTTTAGGCTTCTTTGCAGTGTTCCTGAGAACACATTTGTGGTGGTAGGGCAGGTCAGAGAGAGTAAGAAATGTGTGGTCCTTACTGTGCTTTAACCACGAAACTATTTTCCTTCTCTTCCTTCACAATGAGTGATTCTCTTCTGTATTAACAGACAATAGGTTTTCAGTACTTAAAATTGATACTGTTTGCATTTTTCTAGCATTGACACAGCTCTAAAATTTAGAAAACACTCAAATGTTACTGAGGCTGTAAATTAAACATGCAAAGATCAGCAAGTATAAAGAACCTCCTATAAAGGAGGTTCCTGAGCACTGTCATAATGGCTGCCATGTGCATATGCATGACCACATACTACTGTTATTTTTTAATTTCTTAATTTCTACAGTATGTAGGCTGGACAGGCCTAATTAATGAAGATTTATATAACTTTTTTTTCCACTGTACAGTGGGTTGCTTCAGGCTTACTTGTTGCCCCCCCTGCAGTGGGAATTAATAACCAAGCAGGTTTTTTTTGTGAAGCTTATCCCTGTAACAACTTTCTCAACAATGCAGTTAAGGGGATTACTAGCCTCCTTTTGTAAGTAGGAAATGGAGCCTAATTGTCTCTATTTTAAATATGGAATGAGAAATGCTGTTTTTGAACGCAAATTTATTGTGTTCATTTGCAGCCATGGCCACTCCTGGTCACAAACTGCACATTTCAAGTTGGGCACTTGTAAAAACATTGATTTAATACATAAGAGTATTGATTACAATGGATTATCTGTATTTACAGGCAGCACTAAGAACTAGAGGCAGGAGTAGAATCCAGCTGAAGTGACAAAATTCGGCTGTTTTTTTTTTCTCCAGATATTTTGGATGAACCCTAGTGATTGTAGGAGGACCAGCCACTTCACCTGAGCAGAGAAAGTGCTTTGATGAGTATTTGCTTCAGCAGTTTCTGAGATTCTGGACTTAAAACCCCTGGTTTCTGAGGGTTTTCTCTGGGGAGAAGGAAAGTGGAGATGTTGTCTAAGGAGTGAATTTATAGGACACAGAGTTGCACAATTCCAATGTGCTCTGACAGCCTGAAGTGGGAGTGACTTGTTGCACCCTGAAATCGGAGTGTTACCTGTGTTACCTGGTCAGGCAGAACAAGCCTTGGGACCCCCCTTCCCAGGCTGTCCCTCCTGGGATCCTCCTTTCCCCTTTCCCTGAGCTGTGTGCACAGAGCCAGCTCAGGTCTGTGTGAAGGTGCAGCTCTCCCAAGCTTTGCCTCCCTGTTCATGTGCCCAGGGGAGAAGGAAAGTAGAGATATCTAAGGAGTGAATTTATAGGACAATTCCCATGTGCTCTGACAGCCTAAATGGAAGTGACTTGTTGCACCCTGAAATCAGAGTCACTGTTACCTGTGTGACTTGGGCAGGCAGAACAAACCTTGGGACCCCCTCATATCCAGGCTGTCCTTCCTGGAATCCTCCTTTCCCCTTTTCCTGAGCTGTGAGGGCAGAGCCAGCTCAGCCTGGGTGCAGATGCAGCTCCAGTGTCCCCCTGGGCAGCAGCAGCAGCTCATTCATGGGCTGCTCATTCATGGTCTGGCTTCCTGCCTGGCAGGGTCTGAGCACAGGGCAAAAGGCTCTTCAGTGTTACTTCTGTTTATCTAGGGAATGTAAAAACATCTGATTTATCTAATACAAAATAATTTTTAAAAGTATTTCTTTCTAACTCTTCAGGTGATTTCAGAATTTATAGCGTCCTACCAAACCTCAGCAGCTTTTCCTCAAGGAACACCATGAATTCTTGTAGATTCATCCAGGAGGAACTTGACACACTGGGTTGTGATTTTTTGTTAAAATAACGTTGATAATTTTTGTTTTCTCTTTAACATATTTCTCATGAGATCTGTTTACAGATTTCTTTCATAGAAAACACACCTTTTTCTTTCTAAACATTTTTTATCAGTTCTCAAAGTATTCATGTTGGGAATCCTTTAAGTGTCTTCTGGAAACTTGTAGCTGTCACTTGAAGATCATTTCCATGGTATTTAAGAATTTCTCAGGCTAGTTCCTTGTTATGTTTCTCATCCCTTCATTTCAGACTTACCTTTTTAACCCTTCTAAATTTTGGAACCATGTTAATAAAGCATTGCATTGCTTTGTTTGCAGTTCTCTGCTGGTGAGGGATTTCTTCCTATCCAGCACTTTAGTAGATTTTACTGCCATTTTCTATTAAAGGCTTTTGTCACTATTGATTTTTAAAACCAAGGGTGAATTTAGTTTCCAAGTTTCACAGTTTGCTGCTGAAGTTTGGCACATGGGAATATATTGTTAGTTGGGCATTATAATAGTGAAAATTTATATTTTAATTATGTGCAGTTTTATTTTCAAGTATGTTCCTGTGGTGAAAAATGGGCATTTATTAGCTGAGAAAAATTCTCTACCCTGCAGTCTCACTCTGTATTTGTGGATTTCTGGCTGCAGCTCTTGCCTGGAAGCTGATAGCTGCCAGAAGTGCCCCTGGTTATCTGCTTTTTTCCTAAATCCTCACTTCTGGAAGCCCAGACTGATAAGGGTGCAGATATCACAGGCAAGCTATGTTCTTAGGCTGGAAATTGATTATAAGCAAGTGAATTAGATACACAATATTTATATTTCAAATGCAACACTCATTAGGTAGATATAATTTCATTTAACCAGAATTTTAAAATACTTGGTCATTTTTATAATGAAGAAAAGAGGTGTAGGGTGTTTTAAACAAGAGAAGCTTTATGTGGTCCTTCTTACAAAAAACCAGATAATTCTGCCTCTTCATGATGATGCTGTTTATTGTCTCTAGGCTATCTCAGGATGGATGGCATCCCTAGTCAAGATTTTAAAAATCTTGAAAGCTATACAAACAAAAAAAGGGGTTTGTTCAGATGTCAGGTAGATTTATTTGATTTGTTTTCTTTCCTCCTTTTTCCCCCCAAGTACAGAAGATTGATATCCAGTAGATGATGTTGCTGGACTGATTTGTGAGGAATGCTAGGGGCTTTGAATGCCTGCCTGGGCTTCTGCTCCTTTTGGAGATATTTTAGAGTACACTAGATGTTCTTTGGAGAAGTATTTACTAGACAATGTAAGAATCAAAAATAAGCAGTTCTTTATAAAATATGAATTTTAGAGACATAGGAATTAAAATTTAAATCAAGGAAAACTAGTTTTATCTTGTAAAAACCAACATCAGCCATGATTTATTACTCTATCCACTTAGAAAAATTGTCTTTTTCAAGTGTGTGAATGCAAATCTTAATAAATGCAAGTTATAAGACAGCAGTGTGGCCTCCATTTTTAGTAATGTGTGGTTCTCATTTTGTCATAATTGCCATGTTGTGTGATGCATTTTGTTTATAATGATATTTACCTTCCTGCAGAATTAAGTAACTTCTCTGGAGACAATTTTTTAATTCCTAAATCTTGTCCTTTTGTAAGATGGCAAGAGATTTCAGTCTTGCAATGAAAATAAATCACAAGATAAGTAATATGATTGCTAAAAAGACAAATTTTCTGAGCTTTAGAATGTACCACTGACTGAAAGGCTGTAGGTCAGTCCTTTTCCTTTGTCTGCTCTTCATGTTGCAGTTGCTGTCTGGGTACAGAGACTGTGTTCTATGACAAAGGCTCTCCCCGTGTTTTTAGGTTTTGTTTCTCTGCAAGCTAATTTCTACATAATCCAATCTGAAATTATTGTGAAGAAATTCAGAAAGCAGAAAAATATTCTGTCCATATTAATTCCATAAAGAAAAAGCACTACAACAGGCCCATAAATACCAAGAGGACCAGTAGGTGTTACTGGCAATGATAAACTCAAATATTGATGAATACTGACATGTAAATATTACAACTGAATTAATGCATCAATGTTTTTGCAGGTCACATTTGTTTTTTCTAATCTTTCCCGTATAGCTCTATGAGTAATAGCTTTCAGGAGAAGTACTGCAAATGACAACAAAGCTGTCATTGAACGTGAGAAAGCTGATTTTCCAGTATTTGTGAATATACATATAAAAACACATTAATAGGTTTGATTTTTTTTTTCTTAGTATTAATAATAATTATTAAAAAGCCTTGGAGATCAAGCTGCTAAGGAGAAGAAAAGTAAAAGATTTGTTTTTTCTTTCTCAGCAGCCAACGTCCGTGGGCACCTCCAGCGTCCGCCTGGGGCTCCCCGTGCAAGCCAAGGTGGTGCCATCGACAGCAGCGCCCGCC